CCTGTCCTCTGAGTGAGTCTTGAGAGTGAATAAAGCAAGGGATTCACTGGAACACATCTGACTCCCCTGCTCCCTACCAGAGCCCTTGGGAAAATGAGATGCCTACAGTGTCTTATACTTAAGCACAACAGCTGCTCAGGTTCCGTGCATTCGGTGAAATCGTGGAAGATGTAGGGAAGAGTGCAAATACGAAGCTCCTATTCAGAACAGGATATGGAAGTGAAGTAATTGTACTTGCACATGAAACATGAAGTACAACTGTCCAACAAACCCCCCTGACAAAACTGTCGATTACACCTAGTAAATAAACTAAAAAAAGGGTGTTTTTTTTAACTTCTTTCAATCACAGCATCCTTGGAGATCACTTGTAGCAAAGCAAGGGGAAAAACGGTAGACGTAAGTGTGATATTTGAGCTGATGGCATCACTTTAGATTTGCAGCAGTTCAAATTGCCTGCCTGCCTTTCCTACAAAATAGAAAACAATGTGCTGAGGGGTCACATAATCATAGATATTAAAGATGGAGAAGACTAGACAGGTAATCTAGTTCCTCTCCAGTACAGAGTTGTTCCCCACAGTTTATTTTCTAATGCCTAGTGGACTGGTAAAGGTGTGAAGGAATAGGATTTCCGTTACTTCCATAGTTTCTAGGGTCGGAAGGGACCTGAGCAGATCATCTAGTCCGACCCCCTGCCATGGCAGGAAGAGCACTGGGGTCAAATGACCCCAATAAGGTGGTCATCCAACCTCCTCTTAAAAACCCCCAGGGTGGGAGCCTGCACCACCTCACTTGGAAGCTGGTTCCAGACTCTAGCCGCCCTGACCGTGAAGTAGCGCCTCCTGATGTCCAACTTAAACCTTCCCTCCGCCAGCTTGTGACCATTGTTCCTGGTCACTCCTTGCGGCGCTCGGGGGAACAGGGACTCCCCCAGCGCCTGCTGATCCCCCCTAACCAGTTTATAACAGGCCACAAGATCCCCCCTCAGCCTTCTCTTTTGAAGGCTGAACAGGTTCAGGTCCCGCAACCTTTCCTCATAGGACCTACCCTGCTGTCCCTTGATCATACGAGTGGCCCTCCTCTGGACCCTCTCGATGCTGTCCACATCCCTCTTAAAGTGCGGCGCCCAGAACTGGACGCAGTACTCCAGCTGCGGCCTGACCAGTGCCGCATAGAGGGGGAGGATCACCTCCTTGGACCTGCTCGAGATGCATCTGTGGATGCACAACAAGGTGCAGTTGGCCTTCCTAGCCGCCTCCCCACATTGCCGACTCATGTTCATCTTGGAGTCAATAATGACTCCCAGACCCTTTTCCACCTCCGTGCTGACAAGAGGGGAGTTCCCCAGCCTGTATGTATGGTGCCGATTGTATGTATGGTCCCTTGGAGGATAAATACATTTCACCATTAGGATGTTTTTCATTATATCCAAATAAATTTTTCTTTTCTTAATTTGTTCTTGCAATCCCTAATCATAATCCATTGCATTGCCTTTAAATGACTCTGTCATAGGACTTGTTCAGCAGTATTTAGTTGTGTTTTCACCATTAGCTGTCACACATGTAGGAAGTGGATCTGAAAAGATGGTTCATTTTAATTTAGTCTTGCAAAAATAAAGGGATTTGCATGTGCAGTGGAGAGACTAGTAGTCTATTTTCAAATTACTATTTAAAAAGTATATGGAATATTCCATTACTGAAAGCAGCACAGAAGGAGACATAAGATTTTTGACTTAACTCCAAGAACCAGCAGATGATGCAATGACCTTAAGCGTATAGAAATATGTTTAGCAGCTGCTATGTAACATATTTATAAGTGTTTAGTGACCTGGAGGGTAATCAAAATGAGTTTGGTGATCTCAGCTCAGTTCTTAATGGACTCTACTCCATATTATAGCACTGATGCAGTACAATTTGTCAGTCAGCAGTCTTTACTCAAAGGAGGCCCACCCTGGAGTGAGGATTAGAGATGAAGCAAATACCTGCTTATTTCCCCCACAGAAGCGGTACATTGCTGGCCACCATAGAGCAATGCATGACATGCAAGAGTTCTGTAACCCACTCTGAAACTGACTTCATGATTAAAAAGCCTTTAGCCATTCAAAATGTCAGCCATCAAAATCTCAAAATGGTCACAGCATTGAGAGGAAACCTTCAAAGAACATACTCATTCCACTTCAGTTCAGTGATTCAGGAAGTGGTCTTTTTTCTAATTGAATACCTACCCAAGACATCAGGATGGCATTGAAGGGCAAGCACTGTTCTGCCAGATGGGACCTAAAACAGATTCCTCCACTTACCTTCCCAGTGGTCGTGCAGGGTCCCAAGACATTTTCTGAAGTGAGGTGGTTTCTAGCAAAGCATGTCCAGAGCTAGGAATCTCATTCCTTTTATCCAATCCCCAGCTGCAATTTCAACTGGGAATTATTTTGTACTTCTTGTTATAAAGCTATCGTATAGTGTTGTGCACTGATGAACAACTCTAGTGTTTGATTCCTGTGGTGGATGATGTGATCCCATGTATGATTTATACATCAGTTTTTGACCCTGATTTTACAGTCAGATTTCTATGGATGAGCCCTTCACTGGAACAGAGCCCCAGAGTTAATAAAGCAATGTGGCATAAAAGATGCTATAGAAAAGGTAAGGTACTATAGGAGTAGTAAAAGGATTGTAATGTTATTTGCCATTTCCTTGTACCAGAAAAGTCTACATTGCTTTATTTAAAGTAAATTCTAGAGACTGGAGAAAGATTCACTTGTAATGCTTATTTCCTTTCTCTCTTTACCATCCACACTCCTTAAAAAAAACCTTTCAATACATACATTTTGTATGTGAGAGCATGAGAACACACCTGCATACTTCACCCCATGCGCACTTTGCTAGTATTTTTAGCCCATAATGGTGAGGGTGTCATTGATTCATCAAAAAAAACCACACACATTTCCACCAGCTTTACTTGTTGTAATACTAGTCTTTTTAGCCAAAACTTTGAGAAGTGTCTTTTTAAGGTACAATATTTACATAAGAAAAGCTTGATTGTAACACTGAAATCTTTTCAAGGTGTTGCCAAATGATCCAACTCTTTTATTTTCCCTTTGTAATTTTCCCTTAGAGCATTGCACTGCTATGCATTTTAATTTTTTTTTCCCTCCACAACTCATCACAAGCTTCAGCAGAGAAATGACATTGTATGGCAGTTGTCTCCTTCATATCAAAAGAAACCCTTTGCCTCTTTGCAGGAGTGAAGAAAAGTTTGTCTTCACAGAGCAAAGGACAAAACTGACTTGGAAAATGATCCTTTATTTAGACAACATGTTCTCTGTTCCTTTGAAGAAATTCACAATGTGTCAGGAAAATTAGGCCAAATGGGACTAATAATTTGCTTCCCTGCCTCTACAGCAAAAGAGCAGTTCCTACCAAAGGTCCTGAAAACTCTAAATTATATTGCAAGGAGTTAAAAAATATATTAAAGCCAGTTAAGTCACTGAAGGTTATTTGGTAGAGGTGGAAGTATTTGGTTCTGTTTTGTTTCAGTATTACATTATATTAAGCCCAAACTGCACCATGCTACGAGAAAAATCTCCTACATGGTGTCACAAAAGGCAAGGCTTTTATTTTTATTTTTTTTGCGAAACACAATATAACATTTACAGACTGTGTAGTGGAGAAACTCATAGGTTTTAATCTGTACTTTTACACACATGCTATGCATATGCAAGAAATTGTATTTGTGCAAAATAAATAGTAATGTGTACGCAGACATAAGTATACCAAAGAGGGTACATAGTTACATTATAGTTTTAAGGAATAAATGGCTTCAGGATCAGTTCCTGGTTCTGCCATTCATCTGGTGATCTTAAGGACAAGTCATTCTCTCCCTCTACCACAATTATCTTACTTCTTACATGAGGATAAAGACACTGCTTTGTAAAAGTTTAAGATTTTAAGTGCTATGTATATATATATATATAGAGAGAGAGAGAGAGAGAGAATTAGGAATTGTTGAGTTTACTAGAAAGAACTACAAAAATAATAGCTTACAAAACTGCACAAATTCCTGCTGTTCAGAACCAAGGTCTTCACGCCTGCCATTTACCATATTGATAATGATTTTTAAAAGTCCATGATATTTTATATGACAAAAAATTCAGCATCTCAAATAAGAGGATGACTAGAATTTGTCAAGGATTAATTGAGGTCACCTTCTTATGCAAACTAAGATCCCAGTCATGAAGTCATTTATACATACATGTGGTTAATTTTAAAACATCTCACTGGTTCCAGAGTCAGTAAAGTTTCTGCAGTATTGCTGCCTAAATGGATTGTATCATACCCAGGGTATTTTTTGTGCCCAGTGCCTTAATAAGGTCCTTGATCAAACTCTTTGACTTACTTCTGCTGACATCTGCTGAAAGGCATTTTCCAGAAAGCTGTGCACTAAATCACATCTGGAAATAGACAAACCTACTGGGATGCTAAACCTGGCCTTTGGAAGAAAGGAGAAACAGCATCAAACATGCACTCTCTTCACATGGTTTTCCAGTTTTTTCTCATTTTGTTTTTGTGGGAAGGCAAACAAAGGAACTTTATTGGCTTTAATATAGGACCAAAGAACTTGATTTTTTTAAAACAGAGCTCACTTTAATTACTTTTTAAATTCTTATTGATGGACCTCAATGCCAATCTCAGATTCTCCGTCTCCTCTGGTTACATCACTCTATGCTCCTTGGACAAATAATAACCTATATCTATTTATATGGCTCTATGTTGTATCAATTGAAAATAACAAGTATATACATTTCTGGAGATTTGTGTTGGATCTAATTCTGTCTCAGATTGTACAGTAACTAATTCAACACTAATAGCCCCCAAACACAGGTTAAAAAAACCTAATTGTCTGTCTTTTCCTTAGCTGCTTGTGAACAATAATAAATGAAATCTGTGACAATCCATAACATACACCACAATGAGAGCTTGTATGTGTGCTTTCTCTTCACATAGGCAAGGCAGTTTTCCTGGCATGAATCAGAGTGGTATTATGGGATCCAGTTCTCCTTATACCCAGCCAATGAACAACAGCTCTAGCCTGATGAACCCGCAAGCTCCTCCTTACAGCATGGCACCTAACATGGTGAACAGTTCAACAGGTAATCGTGGGTAATGTTTCAGGAACAACCTTCCGCCATAAGTCTCTTTAAAGGTACTAGCCATAGGGCAATGGCAATGGGGATACTCAGCTTTATGCAGGTCACAAATTCCTGGATCATTTTAATGACTCAGTGCTGAACTGAAGAATTCAGATTTTTTTTCTGGAGAAGTTGCTAATGCATTTCTGCTGCCGTCAAATCTTTTTTTGTAGTGTATACTTGAATACGATGTTTGAACAGTTTCAGTAATGTTGTTGAAGCTGAATCCAAGCAACACAACCTACTTGTTGATCAGTGAGTGTATATTTGTGTAAGTACAGGCTCACCTGCATGAGAGAGACCTGAATTTTGAAGTGTCTGATGCTTTTGGGTGCTCTATTTTCTAAGAACCCAGTCTGAGGTATTGTACATGATGCTGATTTTCAGCAAGTGCTGAGCAACTCCCATGTACTTCCTGTACCCTGTTCCCCCAGCACTCAGGCCCCTTCAAGATGCTGTAAGTTGGAGACCCAAAATAATGATACATTTCTGAAAATGTAATTTTTTTTAATGTCTGAAACATTTGGATTTACTCATCATTTTCAAATTAGATTTGAATTTGTTCTTGAAATTGTTCATCAGCTTGTGCATTACATTATGCTGCCATGGTTCCCCTGCTTTACCTGTGGTAGGTTAGTGGGTTACTTCTGTGTTGTCAGCATTGAAGGTAGTCTTCTGTAGAGTTCAGATTGTGGATTGTGTAGGATGGTTTGGGCAGGAATGATCCTTCCTCAGGCAGGGGCCTGATTGGACTAGATGAAGTCCCTTCCAGCCCTGCTACTCTCTGTGATTTTATGTGGGTTTAGGATTGTTGTTGCTTTGTGTGGCTTCATAATCCATAGCACCTTTGTAAGGAAAACAAGTTAATTCAATTCTGTGTTAATATGCACCCAAGTTATATGTTAAAGTATGAGTTTGGAAGATAAATCTCTGATGGTCTAGATCTGGTCAGATGAGATTGAGAACCTGGTGTTAAACAGTATATTATTGCGAGGTTCCTCACTCTTTTTTTAAATATTAGCAAGAAAACATCTTAGTAAGAAATTGTTCTTTTGATTTTCCAGAAGAGTGGGGGACACAAACATAACTTCACATGCTTAAATCTAAACCTTTGAATTTCTATCCATGTCCCCATGGTGGTTATTACTTTTTTTAAAGCTTTGTTTTTGTGGGGTTTCAGGGAAGGTTAATGCTAATTGATGTGCTTCCTCTCATTAGCTAGTACATTACCTGGCTTACCAGTGTTGCTTGAGCAGTATGAAGTATGAGATGAGCTGCCTGTTACCATAGCATGGGTTTTTTACATCTCATTCCTGACTCCATCCACTTGTATCTTTCCTTCACCCTTCTTCCCCTTTCTTATTCCTTCCTCTTCAACTATTGGTTCTAGATACTCCCTTTTCTGTTTGCAAATGTATACCATGTTCTCCCAGCACTTCATTATACCTAGGTTTGGGAGGGGGTGGAGTTCTTTTTTTCATACACCACAATTTAGGAGATACTCCCAGATAACTTATTTTTCAAGCGTTTTGTGGTATGTTTTCTCTTAGTGGAAGAAAACAGAATGTAAGCTGTTAATCAGAAGTGGATTTTTTTTTTAATAAAATAAAATTGCTTTTCCTAATGTTGGCTAGGAGGCCATTTGTTTGTCCAGGCAGCACACTTTTACATGCAGGATGAAAAGGGAAAAAGCTATTGAACAGGCCATTAGATAATGGCTTGCTTTTCCTCCACCAGAGCTGTCCCAGGTAATATTATATTTGGGTTGTATAGTTATGTGTTTTGTCTGGCTTGCTGAAATAAAATTACTTCTGAGCATTGAAACTACGCTATAAATTCTGGCTTGCTATTAGCAGCAGTAATTTTTCCCCCTTTTTGTTTGGCCCCCAGAGCTGCAAAAATAACCAACAACAAACAGATGGCAGAGTGCCCTGCCTAAGAAGATTTATGTATTCCTAAGGAATAACCAGTTTAAAGGAAGATTCACAGAGGTTTTTTTGTTCAGATAATTCAGCCATTCGTTATTTCATACAGTGGAAATCTGTTCAATGCAAGGCCATTTATCCTAGCAGTCTTTTGTATAAGGCAGTCATACTCTTTTTATTGTGTTATGCATTCTGAAATATTGGATTTTTAATAATTTAAACATTTATCAGGGTAGTAGGGGGTTTTTTCCTGCCTGTGCATTTGTGAGGATTTTTTTCTTTTGTTCCAATCAGTTTTGTTAATTCAGAGAGTACCCAATGGAAAGTTAAGTTTGAGACAAACGGGAGCAGTTGATGGTACCCCTTTACCCTCATGCACACACATACACAAACATGTTTTGCCCTGTACTTGTTTCATGCAGTAGGAATATGAAAGCGCATATAAGGTGTGTCAGAACAGCAGGAACAAAAAGAGGAGCCTAACGTGCGAATATACAGATGATGAACATTGTTAGTGGGGATACGCCATTTTCACTGTGTCTTGAAGTATTGTGACCCCCATTCTGCACAGGTCAAAGAAACCAGGGGCTGAGCTTTCAAGATAAGAGCTGCTATAGGTATAGTAGTTATGATGGCATTGTACTGGGCAAAGGGAAGACACTGGGGTTGCCAAGTATCCTCAGTTTTTGCTTGATGGGCGGCATTTGAGGAGATAAAAAGCATACAGCCTTTCTCCAGGCTGAAAATGGGATTTGCTGTGCTATAGACACCGGCTTAGCTGACTGGCACTTCAGCCATCTCTCTGCTAAGTTAAGACAACATGGCAGTTAAAAAAAAAAAAAAAGTCTTTTAGATGGTATGCAGGGCCAAAAAAAGCCTCTTGTGTAGTGACAAATTGTTACAGGCTTCAGTGAGCAAGTAATTATTTAAATGGAGTCAGCATGAGTATGAATGTGACAACTATTTCTCCAGCTATAATGCCAGGGAAAAGATATGGTAAGCAATAAGAGGGTTTGTTTTTTCTTTTGGTTTGGCTTTTTTTTTGGGTTGGGGTTTTTTTTGAAAAACAAGCATTTTCTTAAGATTTTATCCTAGAAAAGGGGAAGAAATTTTGTTGCTTATATTGTTGGAGATTATTTTCACAAGGGCTTTATTCAAAAATGAATTACTGTGCTGCTAGATGTGATGTGAAATTTGTTTAGCTGATTAGATTTTTAGTTTTAATTCATATTTATTACTTATTATTCCCAATTACCCTTTTTTACAGTAAACCAAGTCCACAAATTCTGTGGAAGATGGCTTTGCAATTTTGCTTCTTTTTACTTGAACAGTTGTTGGGTCTCAAGCAGAGCACTTACACATTTTCAGCTGACATAGAGCAATTTAAAAACCTAGGAATTGCAAGGCTGGATTAGACCAGTAATCCATCTGGTACAATGTCCTGTCTATGACAATACCAGATGCTTTGGAAGAAGGTGCTGGAATCCCCTGATGATTGTAGAGCAAACTGCCATAGAGGAAGTTTTTTTTCTGAATCCCACTATTGTCTTGTGCCTGAAACAAGAGGATTTATATGCTTTCAGCATTTGTTGTCCTAGATAGTGTTGAATTTTTCCTGATATTTTGGGTTGGTTTTTTTTAAAATAACCAAAAACTTTTAACAAAACCTAACACCAATAAAAATGTTGCCATGGCACACTTTTAACCTTCCAGTGGAGACTGGAATGCCAGTCCTGTTGTTCCTTTGCATCCTCAAGTCATACAAGGAGAGATTAAAAGAGCTAAGCATATTCAGCTTGCAGAAAAGGTATTTCAGAGGGGACCCAGTAATACCATATTTCACAGTGTATAGATTGACACGGTGTATAAGTTGGCCCCATGTTTCTGATCCAAAAGGTTAGGAAGTTTGTAGATCTGGTGTATAAGTCAGTGTAACTTTTTGGATCAGAAACATGGGGTCAACCTATACCGCCCCGCACGACCGTACTGGGCACCCGGCGAGTGGGCATGTGCTGCAGCTCTGCTCACGGGATAGAGATGGGCTCGGCACTCAGCTGGCATAGCTCCATCCCCTGCAAGCTGTGCTGCCTGGGCCATGCCAGCCAAGCACTGAGCCCAGCCCTGTCCACTGCCAGTGGCACCGCTGAGTGCTGAGCCTAGCTATGCCAGCTGAGCCCAGCGCTGGTTGCAGGGGACGAAGCTGGGCTTAGCACTTGGCAGTGCCACTCACAGCATTCAGGGCCAGATTCAGCGCCTGGCTGGTGCGGCCCCATCCCCTGCGAGTGGCACTGGGTTCAGCGCTCAGCTGGTGCAGCCCTGGCAGCACCACTCACAGAGGATGGGGCCATGCCATCTGAATGCCAAGCCTGGCCCCACCCCCCGTGAGCAGCGCTTCAGCATGTGTCTACCCCCTGTGTGCCTGGCCCACAGTGAGGGTGCACAGGGGCCATGTACATCAAGCACCAAGCCCAGTGCTGCTCACAGGACACAGTCATATGGTGTGTAAGTCGAGGTTGAATTTTAGAAGTTAAAAATTGGGCTTCAAAACTCAACTTACATGCCATAAAATACAGTAGTCTTTAAATACTTAAATGGCTGCCATAAAAAAGAGGGAAAATACCCTTTTCTCTCTTGCTGCAGAAAGTAGGGTGTGGGCCAATGATTTATAGTTGCAGCAAAGTAGGTTTAGATTGGATATCAGGAAAAACTTCTTTGCTGTGAAATACTGAGGCAGTGGAATAGATTGCCTAGGGAAATTGTGAACTCTCTGTCATTGGAGGTGTTCAAGAAGAAGCTGGACAGCCACTGGGTGGAGATGATCTAGGCATAGCTATGCCTGTGTTGTACTATGATTATTTGCCATGATTCTGGGCTTTGCTGGTTGTCTACATTTGTCAGAGTTTTTTAAAGCCTTCCTCAGAGGTATTGGGTGTCGGCTATAGCCAACGCTGGGGATTTGGGCTGGGACATGCCAGTGTTCCTGCTCACACCTAAACCCAAAGGTTCCTGGCTACAGGGTCTTGTCCCTCGGCTCAG